AGTTTTATAGGAGTAGGTTTCATAGAGTTGGCAAATACATTTTTCATAAGTTTGTAGGTACAGACATCTGTTGTGGCCGTTTTTATGAGGCTTTTTTAATAGTGTTCATATCGATATCGGAATTATATCGTATCGACCGAAATTAAGAAATATATCGTGATATAAATTTTGGCCATATCGTCCAGCCCTAGTTTACAGTTATTTTGAAAGCTGAAGCTGTGATTATGGTAAGGGGCGTTACATTTCCGACGAGTGCTTGCGGTGTTCGGCCAATCACAATGCACTGGGTCAGCTGGCCAATCAGAGCAGACTGCGCTTGTCAGAAGGAAGGACTTTGTAGAAAACGAAGCGTTTGAGAGAGACGGGGCACAGAGGACCTACAATAATGTACAGCATTTGAAAAATAATGTGTTTTTTGAACATTAAAGCATGTCAACATATTCTGTTACACCAAATACACAAAATAATGATCTTTAAAAAAAAGCATCATATGACCCCTTTAACAACTTGGAGCTTTTATGGACATTTCACACATGAAAGCAATAAAGAAAAACCAAACTTACATTTTAGCCAAAACATATCCCACTATCTTCCCATTCTCATCCTCTGCTATGTATGACAGCTGGAAAACAAACACAGCTGTTCAGTAAAGCAGCTCAGCATATGATAATAAGTGATTATATAAAGATCCGTGTCAGTCTCAGACCTGTGGCCAGGACAGGCCGTGGTAGAAGTAGTACTTCATCTGATAGTTCTCTGGAAGACACAGCAGGTTGCAGTGCTGCATGTTCATCAGATCCTCTGGCTGGAAACATGAAGAGAGAAAAGAATTGAGTCAAGCTGTTCTCTACCTGCCACCTGCAGTAATACTGAATCATTCACATTAAGTACATTAGCCAAAACTAATTCTAATATTCAGAGAGAAGCTGGAAAATAGTCATGTATAACTAAACTATGACTGTTTTGGTGCTTGACTGACATAAGTGTACTTTAGAGAAAAGACAAAAAATGATTTAGACACCAGATATCATTTTTGATATATATATATATATATAGTTCATTTATGTAAGTGAGGATAGCAAAATAAAGTGAACTGTGACATATTATACCCAAAAAGTCTTCATACAGTGGACTACCAGTAAAATTTGGGATCAAAAAGTATTCAGACACTATGACCTAACCATGTTTTGCTTAAGTGTTTTTCTTTAATTGCTAATGCGACCTTTTTACACCACAGACTGAACAAAATTAAGCACTGCTTGGTAATAGGTTGACCTAAATTGGTATTATCTAATTGTGTACTTATATTTAACAGCTGACAGCTTTTCAATCTAATGCATTACATACTTTTCTACAAAAGCAACGTTACAGAACACGGTCCCTTTAAAAACTATTAAACTGCAGAGCGTGTATGAGTCAAGCAAAACGTAGATATAATAAAAAGACAAATAATATTTAATACTTTCAGTGCCTCATCGAACGCGTCAACGATGCCTAAATGGGTTTTGAGACAGCCACAGCACTAATTTAACTTCATTTCTCACCCGTGCGTTGCGTATATTCATTTTGCCTTCCGGATTGCTTGCTAAATATATTTTACGATATCAATACAGCTGTCAAATAGACAAAGATGTTTCTATAGAATCGAATAAGCAGGCAGATGGACACGGCTACACCGCTACAAACATGTTGCCCATGACCGGAAGACGGATGCTCGGATAGTAAAGTGCTTCCGGTGATAACGATAATAAAAGTCCTTGAAAAAAAAACACGAAACCAGGGTTTATAAAAGATTTACATTCTGGGTTATTTGTTTTTGATCAATTATTTATATTGTAAATCATATTTATGAATTGAAAATCAGAGTAAAACTATTAATACCTCCGGGCCTTCATTCTGTTTTTATACATTTAATTTTAGTAAAACCTGATGGATATCAAAGCTCCTACAGTTTTATTTTTTCCTGAAAAGAATTTCCACTACTCTTCCAGTCTTTCACGTTTACTACAGAAGCGTTTTTAAATCCTTTTATTGAAATCGCAGTGATAGGATTTCCATGTGCATGACAGATAACATTTAAACTAGTGCTGTCAAACGATTGATCGCATCCAAAATAAAAGTTCTGGTTTGCATGTGTATATTTATTATGTATATATAAAGATAAACGCATGCATGTGTATATTTAAGACACATATGTTATGTTTATATATAAGTATACATGTAAATATTTTCAAAATATATACTGTATGCGTGTGTTTTTATATTGGATGTGATTAATCGTTGCCCAGCACTAATTATATTATATCAAATTTATAATAGAATATAATTTAGATTGCTTCTAATCCTGTAATAATCTATCTATCTATCTATCTATCTATCTATCTATCTATCTATCTATCTATCTATCTATCTATCTATCTATCTATCTATCTATCCAGTGTTTAAATATGGTTGTAGAGGACTTTTTATATTGTATACTATATAATATGATTTTTATATAGTATAGTATAGTATAGTATAGTATAGTATAGTATATAAAATATATAATATATAGTATAGACAAAGTTGTAAATAAAACAAATATTATCTGAGTTTTTCTACTTAAAAATTTCACACATAATTTAGTGTTACTTGCTGTTGTTTCTTAATTATTTCTGGAATTTACTAACAATTTCTGAGTGAAAAGTGTTTCTATTATTACAAAAAAGCAAATATAACAAATTTGGAGGGGATTCCGCACCAGTTGATTTTACATTGATGCATTGATGACACGAAGAATTGCTATAAAATGATATCACAACCACTAACTTTTTCAAAAATTAGGGCTTTTTGTCACATTTTTGTGTATAGTTGTTATAAAATGTTTTGAAGTTTGGATAAAAGAGTCAGCACTGTTATTGCGTTTCGAGGATTGTTCATGATCGATTGTCCTCATGCCCAACCCTAGTTCTGTTTGCTGACACCCCCACACAAACATTAAAACACTTCATTTTTCTCGCTTTCTCTCCTCTCGCACAATCCTCTGCTAGGGTTTTCTCTTGTCATTTTAATCCCCATCTCGCGTGCTGTCTTTTGCTTGCTCGTTCTTTCCTTCTCTCTCTATTTCA